GGCCTGGGCAACCGGGAAGTATCATTTGCCCGCGCAGTTCAGTTCAGCGTCCAGTCCACCGCCTTGGATGCCTGGCTGTATGTCCCACACTCTTCCACTTTCCAGTGATCGAAACTGTAGCAGCTGGGACCATTGTGCCCGTGGCAAACCGTTTTTAGCTGATAAATCGGTTGATTGACCGGAAAATGGGAAGGTATGGGTGGTATAACCAAGCATTAGAGGTGATCGTATGATAACTTAGTTCTTATGCTAAAAAATTCGTTACACTGTAACATCCTTTCGGTGCCTAGCTGCCATGTCACCCGAAAGAAGCATGAGTGCTGGGATACTGCCAGGTCTCCCAAGCCTAGACAGGGGAAGTCGAAATGCAGAGGGCTCGAAGACTTTCCAGTTGGTAAATTCGCGCTCTAACCAGAGACATCTTGTCTTGTGATGCATATTACTCTGACGGCACCTCTGGCTGCGTGTCTACTGGCATCAGTGGTCATTGAAGAGTTGAATCCTGGGTTTCCGATCCAGGGAGACATCAGGGTTCAACCCGACTGAGTTTACTGGCTAGTGCTTGCATACTTTATTGCCAACTCATAGACTGTCCACCTCTCGGTCGTTTATACTCACGACAGGGCTGGGCAGAATAAGCTCTGTAAGGCAAGCGGTCTTTTGACAAACAAGATACATGACCATCACGAGGGAATTCCTTTTCCACACGACCGTCTGGCACACCTCACATTTATTACTCTCATGTCCCCATCAGACCCGACCAGTACCTCGGAAACACCGATGGTCCATTAGTGGCAGCCTTCTTGCATCCTCCTCCTGGAAGCTACGTTATTGCCTATGAAGCGGCACCGCCGCAACGTCTACTCTGCTGTTGACGGCGGGCTGGTGTCTATTCTACTCAGGTCCTTTGGTTCCCTCCAGAAGTTGTATTGAAGGAGGCCGACTGAACTGCTTTTTAAGTGTCCGACTCATCGCTGAAGATGGCGAGTTTGTCAATGAATTAACGTTCCATCTTCGCAAATGTTTCGCCGATATCCGTCTTCTTTTAGTCGGTTGATCAAACCAACCGAAACAGGGCCCGGCTGTTGCCTTTAGCGAAAGCTTTCCCCATCTCTTGGTCTTTCGAAATCCGCCAGTGTTCTCTGTCATTCTGGAGATTCATTTATTATTTGTCCGGGGGAACTGGCTGACCCGAAAGTTAGCCAGCTAACCCGCGGGGGGGGGG